CGTGTTAAAATGATGATGTCATCGCGAAACATGTTGCGACATGTTTTCGCAAACATTGCATTTTTTACTATTGTTGAGTGGGAAGGAAAATATAAATACTGACGGGGATCGCGCAAAGTCAGTCTGTGTAAAATGGCTAACCGTAAATATCTATCGATCGAGCAATTGATTCGCAACCGGGAACTTAGAATCCGGAATATGTTAACATGTAATACTACTCATTGTCCGGTTTGTTCGAGGAAGCAAATAAGTTAGATTGAATATGTGGACGATGGTGTAGTATCGTCAACAATTTTAACATGTTAGGACTATAATGGATTTACTTACTTACAAAGATGCTGGAAAGGGTAAACAAAAGTTTTCGGACTTATACAGTAGCGTTACATAGAGAGGATAAGGTTTGAAAGCTGCTCGGAAGGTTCTGTAAGTATTTAATTTACATCTGCTTGTGAAAAAGTTTTCTCTATAGATGACTTATTCGTTTATTTTTTCATTACAGCGCGCCGTCATATATAATTTTGGGAGGCCGACAACATTATAGTTATATTCGGAGGAGAATTAAATAATAAAATACATATACACATATATACATATAAATATATTTATACATAAATATATTTATAAATAAATATATATACAGATTACTTCGTTGTACGCGATTATTTGTTTCTTTCCTTATTCACGCGGTATCGTATTACGCGCGCGTCATCACACGCGACACCACCGCATGTCGATAGCATTAACGCGTTCAACAATATCGTTGCGCTCGTATTAGGAGAATGCGCTCTTTAGGTTATTATTAATATGCGATAAAAATAATTGGTGGGACAAAGATGCGAAATGTAGTCGCATAAGGGGAAGAAATAGAAGGAGAAGAAGAAGAAGATGATGATGATGACTATGAGGAAGAGAGAGATGGTAAGTATAAATGGTAAATATAGCGCGCGATGGGGACCGCGCCTGGTGACGGTGGTAGTGGGAATCAGCGGCGGACCGCGCCTGGAGGCCGCGGTAGGGACCGGCGG